ATTCTAGAACCATAGGTATGTTTCAGAATGACCAATGGGAAAATCCAGCTAGATGATTTACACAGATGTTCTCTATGTAGAATTTGAATATAAATTAAAATACCAGCTATGCATTTGGGAACCAGCCTTTAGTTAAATTCTCTAGTGCTTTTAGAATTTTTATTTCATTTTATTAAGAAAAGAGGGAATAACTGTCTACAAACTATTTTCTTTCTAACTATGCAAATACAATGAGCAAATCATCTGCAATATCAAAATAGTGTTTGTAAATCACTGATGGCACTAACAATTTTAGGAATTTCCAATAGGACATATATTGAGAAACAGCAACAGTAGATTTCAAATTACAGGCATTAACTGAATTTTAAATATAGAAAATAAAATTAGAATTTTTAAAGTAAGTTTAAATTATCTGATTTTCAATAGTTTAAATCTAATCGTCAGGAATTTAGAAGCACCCAGTATGTTTGAAATTGCACAAATGCATATGGATGATAGAAAAGTAATCCCCATGCAGTATTTTAAGTGTTGCTACCAGATATATTTAAGCAATACTTTACAGATTAAAGCTGCATAAAATCAAAATATATCCTCCCCGATTACATTTTAAAACAGTCACAATAATTTATCAACAGTTGCTATTTCACAGCAATTAGAAAACAGGAGTTGATACAAGTTGAACAAAAAGATACTTTTTCCTCTTTTAGGAAATAAACATAGATATAGGTATATACACATTCATACATAACATTATCTTTAAAATTCGAAGTGGTTAATTCACTTTTGTATTATAAAAAAAATATCTCCCTATGGTCAAAATACTGAAAAAGCACAAAGGCTGAAAAAAGAAAAGAACATTGCCACTTTAAAAAAATACATTATTGTCTCAGTGGTTCTATTTATTTAATTGACTACAAAGTTAGGTATTATAAGGACTCAGACTCTTAGGACTGTACTGGACCAGATGGAATTAAATTCCATAACCCGCCCCCCAACCCCCATCTCCAGAAAGGACACTCCTAACCTACCCTAAAAGATGATAAAAGAAATGCCCCTATTCTGAACTATTAAACTGTGAAAGGACACATGCCCACCTGGAAGCAATATAAGTCATAAAAGTTTATAAATCTGTGGGAGAGACTGCATGAATCAGAAAGCTATTCTTTGGATATGTGAGGAGCTTTTGGAAGTATATAAACTCTTTTAGGCCACTATAGTATAGGTACAAAAATGATTTCTCCATAATGATTTGTCTAGTGCAGAGGGTGGGAGCTCATGGTCCTTATCTGGCATTTCATTTGATTTTGTAAATAAAGTTTTATTGGAACATAATCATGCTCATTTGTTTATGTACTGTCTATGGCTGCTCTTGTGCTACCGTGGCAGAATTGAGTAGTTGTGACAGAGACTGTA